TTTGTGCAGCTACGCTGAAACGAAGCCTTCGTTTAGCAAATAATGGATACTACGACTCGAATGGGAAACCAACAATATCATACCGAGAGACGAGAGTCAGGTATTTTATATATCCATCCATCCATTTTCTTTACACCCTTGTCCTGTAGTGGCGTCGGGAGGGTATATTATATAAGCATTTTTTTAGCTATTATGTTTAACAGTCATCCGCTGATCAATGTACACATTTAAACATTTGTATTTTTTCCATCTTGGGCCAGGGAGACGCAAAGAAAACACTTAGTAAGAAGGGGACTAATAGATGGATACAGTTTGGACAGCTACCAGGATAATGATATGCTTTTCAATATAAAAGAGGAGATTGTCACTCTCATGCAACGTCATGGGATCATCTGTTTCATTTTGCTCTTTTTTGGTAAATACTCTCCTTCCACAAACAAGCAATTTGAAAGTGTTGTAGAAAGTCTGAATTTTTTATGCTATGTCACTGACTGTCATCTTCTGCTCTTGTTCATCAGGATGTAGCTGCCTATTTTCTGCTCAGCACTTGCGATCTTCCAAGTCATTTGTTACTCAACCTACAGAGGACACAACAGCTACAGAGGACACTACAGCTCCAGTGGACATGGTAGGTTTTCTCTTCCAAATATTAACTTTGATTTAAATATCTTGAACAAACTTGAGAACAATTTGTTAATTTCAATGTTGTGACAAACTTTCTGTCTCTTTATAAGAATCCAGAAAAGATCCCAGAGCCTTTCCACGAAGATCTGCAGGAGATGAAGAAGGAGATGAAAAAGAAATTCGACTACCTTCTGCCACCAGCGGATCTTTGGCCAAACTTTGCCCTGGAGTCTCAAGGTGAGCTATTAGAAATAAGATTATAAACCAGATTGCAAATTTTCAGTATTAAGGTTTCTTGACTCAGTATTTCTGTTTTTTTGTGCAGGTGCAAAACTTGTTCCACAGATGACTTCAGCAACATTTCACAACAACAGATCATGTAGATTGTTTGGGATATATTTTCAACAACAACCCTTAGGCCCAAGCATAGCCATTCAGGTCTGAACAACCTCAGAACATTAAATGAATATTATGCAAAATGGTATTCCTGTTTGATAAAATATTAGGCTTTATGATGTTCTTTTCTAATTAGTCTTGGTACCCCACCTAAACTTTGTTTTGTACTCTGTCTTCAGGGAAGAAATCATCTGAGTCCTGGACAATGTTGGGCCTTTGCAGGCTTCCCAGGACGCTTATCCATCAAACTGTCCCACAGAATCACCGTTACTCACGTGTCCCTGGGTCACATTCCTAAGAGTATAACCCCGACTTTCACAGTCTCCAGTGCGCCGAAGGAATTTTCTGTCTATGTAAGGTCAAGCAACATCACATGTATCATACGTGTCCACCTATAGTGTGGAAGAAGGGGCTTTAAATGTGTTGGCAATGATTTAGTGTGACATCACTTGATCACATCCAAACTTTCTGTGTGCACAAATGAATTTTCTGCTTATCTCAGGGTGTGATATGTTTTTAGATACACCAACTAACTTTCACATATATAGAAAGAACAAGATAATGAACTGGATTTCTATCTAATTTTGTCTCAGGGAAAGAAGCATTTACACGATCAGGAGAGTTTATTGGGAACTTTTCAATATGACGAAGATGGCGACAGCTTACAGACCTTCAAACTTCCTGTAAATATGTCGAATTAATATTTTATTAACCAAATACAACAGTTCTTACAGAAGCCCAGAGTGACTGACCCTGTTATAAATATTGGTAATTGTTCCTAACATACAACCATAAGGTTCTTCACACCAACTTTTATTATGTCTTATAACAAAATCTAATAATCTGTTATCACAAAACAGTTATTTTTGTTGTATCACGATAAGAAACAAATCAAAATAACCCCCCGGTCTTACTAGATAACATTTTGTTTTCTGGTTAGGAAGATATTAGTATAATTCCATGGCATCTTGAGAAATCAATGTAAAATATATTTACAGCAAGGACAGTTGAACTAGGCTTCCATACA